ACCCTGGAGTTCCGCAAGTGACGAATTCGCCTGGAATTTCGTCACAAATCATACTTCGGCTTCTGAGGTCTCATAGAGCTGAGTCGCCGAAAGAACCGCTTAACTGCTGAATTTTCTCCCAGGTCCAGATCCAAGATGAAAGACAGTGCCGAAAGATAGGTGTTCAGAGATGCATATGAATTAACACTTTCCATTCTTTGCGATAAAAATTCCAGAACCTCTGTTACTGTCGTATCGAATATTGAGTGATTCTTATCCTGACAAAATACCGACCAATACTTCCACGCTGTGTTGTACTGGTTAAGAGTGCCAATGGAGATTGATGCTTTGACCATTGGTAGTGCTGATTCTGGGAATTCTTTCCTCAGATATGCTTTCCTGATAATTTCCCCACTACCAGGGTAAGACTCGCAAGTAAATCGAAAGTAAATCAGTGTGTGGTTCAAAGAAAATTGGTTCTGACGTGCATATTTCCATGAATTGTGGGAACCAGCACTGAGAAGGCCAACATAGTACGAGAACTATGTCTGTCGCTTTATCCTCCATAATTTTTTGTAACACTCTAGGTATCACTGAAAAGGGAGGGAAAGCATAGAACTGCAGATCGACCCAGTTTACAGTAAAAGCATCGATTGCCATTGAGTGAGGATCTCTACCCCACGAAATGTATTTTTCACACTTGAAATTGTTAGCAGAGGCAAATAGGTCGATGTCTCTATTGCGAAAAACGCAACAAATCCTGTGAAAAGCCCAATCTGCTAACTCCCACTCTGTGTCAGGGGGTAATTTACGAGATTCATAATCCGCTTCCTTATTAGCAGCGGAGCTTATATATGATGCGAAGACCCAGATATCCCTATCTTCGCACCATTGCCATATCTTTTCCGTTTCCTCATGTAGCTTCATGAATTGAACACTGCCATATTTATTGATACATGAGATTGCAGTTGTATTATCGATTCGTAGCAGTAATTGGCAGTCATGGAGATTATCAGCAAAATGTTTCAAACCGAGAAGAGCTGCTCGAATCTCCAGAATATAAATATGAAGATCTTTTTCCTCCAATCGCCACCAGCCATTAGTACCTTGTCCATTGCAAAAAGCCCCCCAACCTGACGTTGAGGCATCAGAAAATATTTCCAACTCGAAAACCGAATTTTTAACAGCACAGTCTATCACGGGACCCTGTTTAACCCACCATTCCAACTCTGGTAGGATCTTGTGTGATAGTTTCATTCTGCGAGAATAATCACCATCTGCCTTTTTAAGAGCCAACCATTTTTCGCTCTCTAGTAACTTAACGTGTAACCTCCCGTACTCCACTGCAGTGCAAGGAGACTCGAAGATTCCAACTTATTTGGTAAAGTCCCTGATCTTCCAAGACTTTTTCTTGTGAAACTTACATACGTACTCAATTATTTTTTGACCCTTCTAATCTGGTAATTTAATTGCCCATTTCTCACTATCAATCAAGTAACCCAAGAAAGTTGCTTCTGTTGAAGGTTTCAATTGACATTTTTCTTTATTTAAGACCAAACCTAATTTTTCTAGCAACTCTTGTGTTTGGACTACATTCTGGAAGCACTAATCAGATGTTTGTCCTATCATGAGAATGTCGTCAAGATAAATGACAGAAACAAACCCTCGACTTCGCAAGAAGCTGGCCACTGGCTTCAATAACTTCGTGAAGACATACGGAGCTGAACATAAACCAAATGGTAGACAATTAAACTCATAAAGTTGATCATTGACGCTGAACCTTAGATATTTTCTGTATGTTTTAGCAATTGGAATGGGAAAATATGAATCTTTTAGGTGTACTGTTGCCATAAAACATCCTGGTCTCAATAATTTCAAAGCAGTCCTCAAGTCTTCCATCTTAAAATGAGGAGTTGTAATGAACTTATTCAATTTCTTTAAATTTAGAATGAACCGTTTTTCACCATTTTTCTCGTCTCTCAGGAAAAAGGGTGAGATAAATTCACCTTTACAAGGAGCACAAGCAGAGATAGCTCCTTTCTGCATCAGTTCATTAATTAAATTTGGCATAACTTTTTGTTTATTTCTACTCAGGATGGAATTGCTCACTCTTTTTTGAGTTGGTTGCCTATCAAAAGGAATTTTATACCCCTTGACGCTAGACAAAATGCCTTTATCCTCAGTGATGTTTTCCTAAACGTCAGAAAAGTGACTCAAACGTCCTGCCAAACAGCTTACCTCTACTTCCTCCTCGACTGGAACGCTCGGTTGTTCGATCATCCCTCTCCCCGTTTGTATGCACTCCTTGAGGTGTTGAATCTCTGGTTGGATGTCTTTCTGGAGGGGGTTCTGGAGTTTAAATGAGCGGATAAATTTTCCTTCTCTGCCTGACGACTCTCAAATTGTGGCTTGTAACCGCTCGTACTGGGGCATGGGTTTGCAACCTTCATTATTTTCCTGGATGATTGTTCAATTGTCTGAGCTGATTTCAATTGGCCAGCAAAATCTTCACCGAAAAGTTCATTGTCTAGTTTCGTATCCTCAGCGGCTTTTCGTACAATGGGGTTCAGCGTGTTGGTGATGGACGTACGTCTGCATAGAGACATATAGTAATGGAGATCTGAGAGAATTTTTCCGGCATCGGAGAGCTTGGTGATCAACTCCTTGAACTGTTCATTATTTTCAGCGTCCTTGTCTTCTTCGGCAGCGACTAATGATATACTGAGGGCAGAGTCAACGGCCGACAGAGCGGCACCCAGCTGGTTTTGACAGACGCAACGGTTATAATCTTTCCTCAACACGGCAGCACTGAGAGATGGTTTAAGTGCGGGGTTGAGCACTGGTGCTTTCATCGTCTTACAATTTTCTGCAGGCGGATATTTTTAAATAAGCTCTTGTCTGACATCCTTACTTAATCCTTCAGCTAAAACTTACGTCCGTCGTTCAGCGAATGCTGTGTGTAGATCAGGATTATAGGGCCCTTCTTTTGTGGGCACTTCTCCCAATAATTCAATTGCAGCAGAATCGGTAACAACCTCTCCGTCCTTCGTTCGAGACCTCTTGCATTTGGGAAAGTCACGGGAAGATCCAGATTCATCTGACGAGCGGGACGCACCTGACTCTGAACTCTCACCTGACGATGAGAAGTCACTGGAGCTTCCAGAAGAGCTGGAGCTAGGTTGATTCGAGGCAGATCTCTTCCTTGATTTATCGGACTTTGCCTCTGGCGGCGACTTATGCCTTGCGGTTCTCGACTTACGAGACGCATACGATCGAGACGAGCGTCGTCTCTTTGATAGATTTTTATCAGCCCTTTCATTCCTTGAATGATGGCTTTTGATCTCCCACTCGAAATCCTTGACCTTTGCCAACAATTCGCTTCTTAACAGCGATCTTTTCCTCTTGCGACTTCGCCCCATCATGTAATGGACGAAGAATCAATTGAAAGGAATTAAACTTGGGATAATAATTCAAGAAAAATGAATAAATTTGATTCAATGTGACGGGACAGATGTGAATCGGACCGCACTGAAAAACATAATGACTTATGAGATAAAGGACTATCGGTGTATAGTGACAGGCATTTATTTTATTCTTTAAAATAACTGTGATAGGACCAGTAGGAAAACATGACTACACTTGATCTAGAGGACGAGACGGCGAAATATAATTCGATTTTATGCCTAAAAAAATATTTCTGAAATTTCGAATAATTATCATTATTCATTCCTAAGAATGTTGAAAAAAGCAGTTATTTGCAGGATGACATTCAACCAACGCTGATTATCAATGCTTGATTTTCAAACTTTCCCTAGCATATTCTAACGATATTTTCCCTGTTTGTTCAGCCTGGAAAAATCGGAACTACTTTTTAGCCTTCTCTATCGCTGTTCGGTTGGGCACCAGCCAAACCTTTTCGGAATGTTCGACAAAAACCGACCTTTGAGGCAATCTCGTCTACTCAAAGCACTTTTGTGGCTGGACAATGGAATTGCCCAGCTAACATTAGCGTAACACGGTAGTTTGGGAGAGGTTCACCAGGAGTACTTCCATCACATCTTCACGACCCTTTTCAAGCCGTGCATTATGCCTTGCAGCATAATTAATCCAGTGAATTTAATTCACATCAGTTCTGGAGCATCTCTCGACTCCTCCAGCATACTCTCTCCACCCGAGTATTTCTACTCGGGAGAGTTTCAAAATTATTTGCGAATCAGCCGGAACTCCTCAGAGCCTGAGACGTCGAGAGGCTGATCCCACCAACGCGGAACTACGTTACCCACCTTACGACCACCCACACTCTCAACCACCAATTAGCGCTTTGGTCATCGCGAGCCACTATTCCCAATTACTAAAAGTGTCGGCGCATGGTCGACAGGAGGACTACTCAACTCCAGCCGCACAGGCCCATATGCTTTTACTTCATTCCAGCCGGGTCCAAATAATGCCGGTCACTACGAAGTCGTCACTTCGAAGACAGAAATAACTCCTTTTTCCAAATTGCGGGGAATGCAGAAGCATTTCTTTATGTTTGCTACCATCAGTTATGCACTTGGCCACGCTGGGCTACGCCCTCTTTCTCTGGCCATATTTCAAGTCAACACCACAATATACTCCAGAGAGATCCTTTCGACCTCTTCGCTTAGGCGTCCGCGATCGACTAACTTGGAATCCTACTAGGGCATTCTCCCCCTAGTCTAGATATTTCGGCGATGATAGATCATTGCGTTACCCTGTCCCCACCTATCGACCCGACGGGATCCCGGGGGCACGAGTCCTCTTACCTGGCCGTTGGTCCCTAGTCTACCCCGACATAGCGTTTAGAATCACCCAGTTGGACCGCCTGTACGTCGGGCCATTTCCCCTAACAAAAGTTGGGCGAATACTAAAATAGCGAAAGTCAACGAACGTCCTTCAGACTTCCAGGCGTCGCGGTTCCACGCGAAACCGCTCTGTCTTCCGCCTTTCATTAGTTTGTGACTCTTCTCATCTAGTCCCGGCTCTCTCAGCCGCCTTTAGATGTCTCTTTTAAGAGTCATCATTTCCATTACATTATCAGTTCGTAGCACTGATCACTAACAAATAACTTCCGATTCAATTCATTATAAATAAATACATGTGTAGGAAACATGTTCTGATGTATTTTATGCATGCACAGTGTTTGCTTCTTATTTGGGGCTAAAAATCCGCTCTTAAATTCGCCCGCATTTTCTTAAAATATTGATGTGCCATCTGTCACACTGCCATCTTTCTCCGTAACAATGTATCAATCAGCTGATGTGATGCCCGGTGATATTCGATTAATTGAAATCGAATAAAAAATAATCGATTATCCCCATGAAATCCGCCATGTTCTGTTAATGACCCATCTCATTCATATTGTAACGTGGTATTTTTGAAATTTTGACCGTTCAGTGCTTGCCGGAATTTTCCAGATGGGAAGTCACTTCATTGGCGAAGCGATAGTCTTTTTTGCTTCCGAATGGACGCATTGAAATCGTTCGNCGATTAATTGAAATCGAATAAAAAATAATCGATTATCCCCATGAAATCCGCCATGTTCTGTTAATGACCCATCTCATTCATATTGTAACGTGGTATTTTTGAAATTTTGACCGTTCAGTGCTTGCCGGAATTTTCCAGATGGGAAGTCACTTCATTGGCGAAGCGATAGTCTTTTTTGCTTCCGAATGGACGCATTGAAATCGTTCGATTTTTCGATTCTCTAATTTTGCTTGGAAATGATGTAGAATGGTCTGAAACATAAAAATACGAAGTTTGAGGACCATGTATGCATGTGCGCGTGGTCAACTTGGGCCACTTAATGGTAAACTTTTCGAAAATTGAACGAATTAAGGACTAAAATAATTCCAAAAAATATCAAATTTTGTGAGATGATAGGTATTAATGAGGACTAAGTCTGTGCTAAAGTTCAGCTGAATCGATTCAGCCATTTTTCAGAAATCATCATTTGTTTTTAAATCTTTTTTTTTCAAATATCCCGAAAATTATCCAACCGATTTCAATTTTTTTTTCAACATACTCGTCTTGATGTTTTCTATCGTAATCTGTCAAAATATCTATACCCGTTCATACAATGTTTTCGAGGAATTTCCTATTTTTCGGTTTTTCGCGGAAAACTTTTGTTAGCACTCCAGTTTTCCCAAAAAAGAATATATTAACTTGAAATTTGGTACAAAGTTTCCTCTTGGCACTAAAATGTTTGATATTGAAGATGGGCTAAATCAGATAAATAGTCTGCGAGATATTCGACTTTGTATCCAAATCTATTTTCTTGAATATCTCAAAAACTACTCAACTCAATTTTGTTTTTCAAAATACTCATCTCAATGTCGCCTATTCCAACCAATTGGAATATGCATAATTTATACAAGTGATCCATGCAACGTTCTCGAGAAATTCAAATTTTCCGATTTTTCGCTAAAAATCCGTTTTTGCACTCCAACTTTGGAAAAAATTGACATATTAATCTGAAGTTTGGCACGAAGTTTCCTCTTGTTTTACTTAAAAATTGAGAAAATCGGAGAATTTGCGTCTTACAGAAACTGAAATTTTTTATTCACGATAAAACAGAATTTTTATCTTCTTATTATTTTTATAAAATAGAATTGAAACGAATCCATTCGGAAGCTTACTACCAATAAAATTGGTAGAAATGGAAGACAAAAAGACTAACAACGGATAACGAAATAATCCTATCTCTTCAGTCAAATAGGCTTGGCCCCCAGCTTGTTTTATCACATTTGGACCACATTTTGGACCTTAATTAATGCATTTTTGTTTTGTATCGAATCGTTGTCTGACCGCTGACCGGATCGCTCACATCGTGTGATGGAGTTCGGATCATCGCGGGACGGAGTCCAGATTTTCGTGGCATACTTCGATAACCCTCCTTCGGTTCTCGAATGCTGTCGAGTACGAGATATTGAGCAAGAATATTATTTTAAACGGCCCTGCACACGTCTGGGTTCACCTGGAAGACCGACTGGCGGCGCCAGGGTATGGAGTCAGAAAATTTGGGACTCAGACGACGATCTCATCATCGGACTAGAAAATTCTGGACTGACGTCAGGCGTCCAAAAAAATAACGACGGGTGATGAAAATTAGTTGGAATTTTATGGATCGATATTTGCGTGTATTTTGTGTCAAACGGGTGTATGCTGACGGTGGAAATTTTTTCCAGTTGATGCATGCTGCCTATCCGTATTTCAGTGGGAAAGCTGAATTCCATTGGCCACTTAGCTTTCTTTAGGATCACCACTAGATGATCCTCCTATTTCATCTGTTAGAAGGCGCAATATTCTCTTAGCGTCCCTCATGACTCCGTCGAGAATTGCCGAAATCGCCATAAAATGTTCAGCCATGTCGTCACGAGCAAGAGTTCTATTGAATCTATACATGCGGTCTGACAACTGTTGCGTTTCATACAGAATAATTTCTTCATTCCGTTGTACAGTCTCTTCTGCGTGCTGCAGTTGGAAGAGTGTCGAATTGATCACCTCGATTTGATTCTTTGTTATGTCATAGGTATTTCCTTGTTGTCCTTCGATACGGTTGAGGCCTTCCTGAATTTCGTTTGCATCCGAGACGTCCATAACGATTTGGCCACGGAGCCTAATCCGTTAACTAAGCCTCGACGATCTCTTTCGGGTCGTCCAGTTCCTAGAATTCCATAAATTGTTTTCCTAACCTCTGTATGTTCACTGATTCGTTATTGCAGAATTTTTCGGAAATTCTCTTCTGATTTCCAAGCTTTAGAGAACAAAAGCTGTGTCTGCAGATAGTGGCTCTCTAGTTGGTCTGCTCTTTGTAGCCTGGGAGTCATATCTGTTTTTGCTACTACGGTCCAGACGTGGTTGGTCAAGAACAAACGACCAATCGATTTAAAATGTAGGCCTGGATTATGGACGAATTTATCAACAATGTATCCCTCGCTCCTCGTGAGTGGAATCATGCTTCCCAGAACGATTATCATGAGGAAAATTTCCAGAAATCGGAAATTTCTTGTCTCATTCTTATATTTCGTTACTTCACATTGAGCTGGAGTCTTGATCTGAAAAAGGAATTGAAAAGTTTTCAAATTAGAAATATCACATTGCCTGCGTCATACAACAAATTATAAACACAAGCCAACTCTTAGGCGAAGAAAAGCTACCACTTCTCGGGCGATTATTCCACATACGAGTGAAAGCATCTACAAGAGAAAAAAATTGAAAAACAATCAATTGTCTATCAAACTATTGATTAAACATCATAGCCTTTCCACTCAAGATAAGCCAGTTCACTCCTGGCGGTCTGTTCACTCCAGACTAATCCGTTCACTCCGGATTTATCAATAACAAAACCTGTTCACTCCAGGTAAGCCAGTTCACTCCTGGCGGTCTATTCACTCTAGAC